GTGTGATGAAAGTAGGCATCTTCTTCTAGAACAGGCCAGTCTCATCCACGTTAAACGCCGGTTCACTGGCACAGTCACCTTCTTCTATCATAGACTTGAGTGTCTGAGTTAAAGAAGACGCAGCTTCTTTATTGCCACTTGCCGCCTCTCCACCCTCCGCGATACTGTGCCAATTGCAGCGAGTGTTGAATCGATTGATCCAGCCGTTACTAGATACAAAGTTTTCATCCTCGCCCGCCTCCCCAGCTTTTTCTTTCAACCTCTCAAAAATCAATTTAGCTTGATTGCACAGTGTTCTGATCGACTGAACAGTTCTTCACTTTTACTTGGTTATCACACCACAATTCCAGCATTGTTTCCATCTCAGCAGTAGTACCATGACGTCTATGAATTGTTTGAGTTCAGGGTTTGAGCATTTTTCGCCGCATCGAGAATTCTTTGTTCATTTTTTATGATTGTTCTTATTGTGGATTCCCGTAACTCAAATTTTTTGCAAATTCACAAATTTTCACTCTGCTATCAAAATCCTTGATAATGTTAAGTTTACATTCCAAAGATATCTTTTTCTTCTTACTAGGTGCAGGAGAATCCGATTTACTTCGTTTGGACGACAGCTTTTTAAGCGTTCAGAAAACGTCGTAACTGTCGTCGATCGTAGAATGGCAATCGTCCACGTACAGTTCGCGCGAAACACGTGCAATGCATATCATAATAAACACCAAAAATAGAAGCGGTAGTGTTGACAAGCGAAAAAATCAGAAACCGCGTAACTCCGAGTTCGCGTTAGTAGGAGTATTACTTACACAGTTGTTTGAATGATTCATGGTTCGGGGCACCAAATACAGCAGACTGTAAACAGTTTATACCGACACGTCTCAGTGCACATACCAGAGCATCATCCGGGCTGGACTGAATGCAAATGACTGCTTGGAGGCATTTATGTTCGAGAACCAAACAATGCCAGTGTTTTGACTGGCTCAATACTTATAGTCGAAACATAAACTGTCTCAACGAAGTATAATGTTCACGAAAATAAATCGGATCTTCTTCATATTGACCATATTTTGCGTAACAATTCTCTGATTGCACCCCAATTTTCGCTGAAGACAACAGAAGATCGGTTTCGTTGCACATCCGGTTTTTCATTGCCAGTATATGCAAGGACTTCTTCATCAGCAGACCTATTTTAGATTGGTCTTTATTTATAACAGACACATTGGTCTGACTAAAAGAATTCCCTTCAGTATTCACATGATGGGCAGTAGTAGATTTTTCAGCATGTCCAAGACGGACCGCAGCAAGGTACTTGTACGGATATTCAATTGCCCGTTGATCTTTCCAATGTATACCTTGTCGCAGTCTCTGCAGTGAACGTCGTAGACTGTATTTAACACTTCTTCCGGAATATTAATGAGCACGTGTTTTTTAAATGAAATATCGACCAATGTTCTCCTTTCTTGTAGTGAACCATAAGCCCCCATATTATAATGGTTTCTTGTGATGCGATGAGATTCCTGATGTATTAAATGTAAAATTATCATTGGTCCGCATGAACTGGCCAGCTTTAAATTTGAGCTGTGGTGCAAAAATTCTTCGTCAGGGATCCTCCTTCGGTAATGGTTTTTTAGAACCGTTTGGCGAACATGTTAGATTTCTGCGTCTATGCGAGATGTGGTAGTGCAGGTCTCGTCTCCTTGGCTTGTAGGCGCATGCTCGTTCCCACGTTCCAGAATAATCCTGGAGGGACAAAACGCCGGGTATCGATTATTGATAGGATTGTGTTGGTTTTCGATATACAGAAACCTCAGATTCAAAAGATTGCGTCCTCTTCACCGGCGCGTCCAGAAAGATATAAAGTTGTTAAGTTCCACCTGGGGATGAAGCGTGGCCACTTTTGTCTTGTCCATTCATGTAATTGACCAAATATTCTAACCGTTTCAGTTTATCCTCATTTTGTTAGAATAAGAGGAAAATGTCTTCAATGAATCAGACGTAGAGAAAAGTTCGGAATTCTGGCGGGTATTCTTTGAGCACTTTCACCTCCAAGTGGTCCATATAAAAATCAGCTAAAACAACACTCGCCCGGGAGCCCATCGGAAAGCCGCACGTCTGGAAGTAGGCATTGTTCGCGAGTTTGAATCTGGTACGAATCATCACAGAACCAAAGATTGTCATTAAATCATCCACGTAGCAATTTCTTAACACGATTTCAGATGCCTTGCACTCGTCCATTGTGTTCTTCACCATGTCGGGTAAAACATTAGCCAGTATTCACATTATACTTTGTTCAGTTAATGTAACAACGTATATATTGTATGTGATGAGCATGTTAAAAATTGGCATTGTTCGCTTGTGGAATATAAATGCCTTCAAACGGCTAATTGTACTCAGTCCAACCTTGATGGTGCTGCGGTCTGTGCAATGAAACGCGACTGAAGTAAACTGTTTACCTTCTGCAGTATTTCATGCCATAAATCATTCAAGCAACCATGTATGTGAATATATTCTACAACTTATATTCGAGAAAAATGTAGATGATTGTAAATATTTAGTTATGTGGCTAGAATCATTTCTTAGAGTATCGAACAATATATTTTAGAGTAGATTGTTGCAACTTTTATTACATGTAGCAGCAAAAGTTAGTACTCTTAGTATTTACTGTTATCCATATTTCTTATTATGGAATAGTGTATTCGACCATATGTTTTTATTATATGTTGTGCTATATCACCTGGATCACCAGGGCTGCTTGGTATTCGTCGATGAATTGCGTCGGCCTCAACACTTTGTGTTGTCATAGCGTCACGTGCTGGCAGGTCTGACGGTGGTGACTGGCGAAATTCGTACGAACAGGTCTCCCAATTCCATTCAGTTTTTCTATAGAAGTTTTCTCTCCACGCCTTCAAAAAACTGACGTCTAACCGTTAGACAGACATGACAGTGACAGCGTGTTTTATTCAAAAGGGAAGGGTGTTTCCGCCTGGCAGGAGACTGTCATTAGGCATTGTGGCTTTTTCAGAAGATCGAACTTTTCGAGCTGGAACACAGCCACGTCTTGATGGTCTCACCGTTTCCTGTCCCGATGCCTTGTTTGTTGCAGCTTACCTCCTTACCTCGAGATGTTACCCCTATTCGCGAAGAGGATACTCCAGAATGCTACCAACAAGGTATACTGATAGTGAATATGGTCAGAAAGATGCAATGAATAACAGATAGGTGCCACCGTCTACATCCTTAGTGGAAGCGTACGCTTGCGTTGAGAAATAATGTAGATGATACGCATACTGTTACTGTGGTACTGTCAAATTAAACAATGCGCAAACCTAGTATGAAAGGAATGGCAATGCATATTTGTTACTGTATGTCTTTTGTTACAAGAGATGGTAGTATGATTATTTTTAAACGAGATACAGTAATGCAGATAGAAATAAACGTCTACTGCTATATACTATTTTAATCAGAATATATGCGTATACTAACAAAGAACTGAAATGGTAATGGACATCTGTTACTATTACATATTTTGTTACTGTATGTGACAGAGTGAAGCATATGGTTGTGTTTTACCACATGGCAAAAATACATTAGCAAGTTTGTAATGTAATCTACGGTTACCGCATGTGATACAGTGTGTAGTAAGACATCTAGTTGTATATTTTACCATGTATTTTAATATAAGATGCATATAATGGTCTCTATTTGTTGCTATCTATATCTTTTGTTATAATATCGTACAGCATACAACCATGTGCTTTGTTATGTACTGCATCGTATATAGTAAAAAAGGAGTTGGATAACGACATTTTGTTACTATCTATGCCTTTTATTATTATACGTCGTGTAAGATAGTACTATGTGCTGCATATGCCCTGACTACACATAATGACGAAATATGTTGATAGTGGTAGCGGAGTGGCTGCCTATTTGATCAAATGTTCTCTTTTGGAACTGATCCGACCATCTAGACATAAGCGCTGATGGCGGTACTCCTTAACCTTCGGCTAACAGGCAACATTATAATGTACAGCATCAAGTAATGGAAGGTGTAAATACTAGAAAATATGTGCGACTATTTGCATAAAATTATTAGTTGAATGGTTCACAAGAATAGGGCTCAAGTCAACGGACCGATGATAAATTGTTTATTGAAATGCCGAGGTTTCAGCCCAGTGACGTAGGTCTTGCTCAGGGCAGAAAGACTGATTTTGATGGATAATCGCGCTTGTTTGCCTGAAGTAGTGGGAGTTCCTATAAAGAATTTACCATCTGTCTTTTCGCTTTTTTACAGCCATTGAATTGACTATTTCTTGCAACATATATTCATTATCTGCTCTTATTTGATCCTGTACATAACTGCATCCTTTGCCGTATATGTAAAATAACCACGTATAGTAGCAGGTGATAAAAATGGTTTTATGTATTTACTACTCTCTACCTGTTTTGCCATTACGTACGTGGGACAGTATAGAGTGCATTATGTGATCGCATACTGCATGTCATATGAGAGTAGCTATGATACGTACATGCAACCCGCTGGGCACCTTGCTTCTATATGTGGTACAATATTCGTTTAAATGCTTTCCATATTTATTGCATCTTATCTAGTAGCAAGATCTCTGTAGCAAATTGTGTACTACAATCCACAGTTTGATTCGTTTTACATACTTACGAAAGACCAAGGTTCGACTTTACCTTACTGGGTCGAATATCTTGGACCTGCGATGGTCGGTAGTAAAGATTCAAGCAGATATCATCAGTTGATATCGATGTGCTTCTTCAAGCGGTCTGAGAATATGTATGCGAATTAATGGTTACGTATTTTGCAGTTGTCACTGTAACATCTATGGTTAACATATTTTTAGTTAATGTACTTTTCACATTCTGAAAAGTAAATAATTTACTGTTAGGCAGACAGCGATGACAACGTTCAACAGCAGACGTATCCAATGAATCTGAACTTCGTTGCCGATGTGGTCGAAAAAGTGGCACCTGCCGTTGTTTATTTAGAAATCGTTGGAAAGTAAGTCGAAAGAGCTCGTATTGCGGTTGGTTTGTTTAAAGCAGTCTTGAAACTTAAGTCTTCCATTTGTCGGCAATCAAACGGTATCTAACGGTTCTGGGGTGATCGTTCGATCAGACGGCCTTATACTGACCAATGCCCACGTTGTAGGCAACGGAAGGCGAGGTGTGGAGGTCAAGCTGCAAGATGGGCGCTCGTTCCCTGGCGAAGTCTGCTTTATTGACCCGATATCCGATTTGGCGACTGTGAAGATAAAGGCGGTAATAAAACTGTTGTTCGGTATGCGTTTTCCTATGCCCTCATTTAGACTGGTCTTCCGGCGCTAAACCTGGGAACAAAGAGAAAGATCCGGCCCGGTGAATGGGTCATTGCTCTGGGCAGTCCCTTTTCGCTTACGAATACTGTCACCGTCGGCGTGATTTCAAACACTCATCGTAAGTTGGTCGACCTTGGTCAAAATTCGCCCATTGAGTACATCCAGACGGACGCTATGATAACTTTCGGAAACAGTGGTGGACCATTAGTGAATCTAGTGAGTAAATATATAATATGCAGATTACTGAGTAGTAAGGATTAAATGTTGCATGATGCGATACTACCTCTTTCTAGCTTTACGATCTTCGAAACGAAGAATTTTATATAAGCAAGTATTTTATTGATTCTGAATTCTGTCAAATCCATTGTTCCTAATCGTAATGTATAGACTGCTTTGTAACCATGAAAGAAATTCAAGTTTTCCAATGCCTCAAGTCGTTCCAGTCAGTTACGAACAACGTTAGCACTCAATATTTCACACAGCAATAACACTGAACACACTAGACAAAGCAGTGGCTTATAATAATCTTCATATGCAAATCAAAATCGAGACAAAACGATTTATATGCGCTTTGGGCAAACGATGACTCCTGGTTAAGAGATTTTTTTCGCAACTGTGTTTAGCTCGCTATGATGTTTAGCCAGCATGAGCAGCAGCATTCTCATTTAGCAAGATATGATTTAGGATTCGATAGAAAAAGGAATGTAAAGCTGATTCAGAGGAGACTGAATCCTATTCACATCTTAGTGAATGAGATCATTTCAGTTTGGTGCTCAAGAAATCCCATTTAAAGCCTTTGCATATATTTAGTAGATTTTCTTAACATAACAATGAACATGGGAAAATTGGAGCATTGAATAAATAGTTTGACTTTTAACATGAGATCTGACGGATTAAACTCCTAGGTATTAAATGTTTTTGACTAGCTAATTCCCTTGAGCAGAAAATTTGTCCCACTCTACCAGCAGCCGAAAAACAAGTAGCAAACCGTTGGCCTGCGAAAAAATATTAACATATTGTTATTAACATATCATCCTATCACCTTCGAGATTTATGACCATGCTCTCGAATCATATATATAACCACAGTAGTTCCTGTTCACCGAAGTTAGCTAAATCAGAGAAACAACATTCAAACTTGAACTTCAACTGAAGCAAGAATACAGAAACTGTCTATAACATGTTAGCAGATTCCTAATGTATAAAAATGTTTCGCGAAGAGGTTCTTCTCAGAATTTTTATTTTCATTTTCAGCAAAAAATGTACATTCTTAAACCGACTGTCAGTAAAGAGATAATGCAACCAGACTATGTTTTGCTTCTTTAAGATGTTAACTGCTAAAAAAGAACTGAAAATGTAGTGTAGTAACTGACTTTACCGAACTTATAATGTTGTCATCATTCTGGATTAACGTTTATGATTGTTACTTTATTATCGACTGCATTCATCTATTGAAATCGTATCGTTCAATTCGTTGTTTCTGAACTGTCATTACAGGATGGGGACATCATTGGAATCAATACAATGCAAGTGATGTCGGGAATCTCCTTCGCGGTCCCCGCGGACTACGCAAAACAGTTTCTGGAGAAAGTGGATAGCTTGGAAAAGTCGAAGGGTGGAACCGGATTTGTTAGCCGTGCCGTGTCAGTTTTGAAGATTTTAGGTACTTCCTGGTTCTCAAGGAAGCCGCATCATCTGAAGACTAAAAAGTTTGTTGGCCTGAACATGTTAACGTTGGACGAACATATCCTTCGTGACCTCAGGGCACGTGATGAAAATTTTAGTTCAATCAGCCACGGCGTCTTGGTTCATGGCGTAATCATCGATTCCCCCGCACACCAGTAAGGTTATAGTCATACTGTATTTAAAGTTTCGATTAATTTTTGGATGCTTCGTTTTGTTACTTATCTCTCGTTCTCGTTAATACTTTCGCAACTGCCCTAATTACAGCACTTCACCCATCCAGTCGCCGCATTTTACGGCGTATTGCACCATTCCATAGCTCCTTACCGCTTCAGCAGCCATGACGTCATTCTATTTGAGCAGCTACAGTGCTAGGTGCATCTTGCATAATTTTCCTGGCTCAAGCAGTACCTTGTTCATCAGCGGTGTTTGAACAGCCAGTTCACTTTAGTGTTTGCGTGAAATAGCCAAAAATTAAAACTATGAGTTTTAGTATAGTGGTTTAGCGGCGTCTAAATTATTGAAACCCTGATTATCAATCAGAAATTGTCTCTCGGCATCCAGGATCCAGCGGACAGGCCATACGCCCCAAAGTCTGATAGTTAAAAATTGTATTTTTTAGCACTGCGGCACCTGAACCATAATTTTTTCTTTTACCAAAATACGTAATATCGGCTTCTGAAACATCATAGCGTAAAATAGTTGATTGTTTTAGCCAATATGATGACGCAACTAAACTCTACAGATGAATGCTAATATTCCTTGGAGTTATGAACATGCAATTTAGCTCCCATAGAATCATCGTTAGACTAAATTTTCCCAAGTGTTTTGTTTGCTTATTTGCGTAGGCATTTCTATTCGTAGCTCAGTTAAGGTAAGTTAGCCTAAAACAGTAAATAAATGAAATCTAAAGAAACTGTTGCAGAAGTGGAATCGAACCAGGTGATATTATCATCGAAATCAACAACAAGACTGTCTATTCAACTCAGGACGTGCTGTCGAAATTAGGTTTGCAGTGTCAACGCCGTTTTTCCTTATTGCAAACCTTGTATTATTTTAGAATCCTCAGAGCAGCTTGTTTTCACCATTATCCGACGCAAACACACGCTGAAAATCAGTGTCTTTCCTGAAGTGGATTAATTTTTACTCATGCATTGTGTATCTACAATTCTTACATTTGAAGCTTTATCAGATACGGTAAATACAATAGGATTTCAATGTCACCATTTCTCCGCGTTATGAATTATGTTAATTGCACGCTTGAATCGAGGTCGTAAAGTGTTTCCCTCATATGGCAGAGGTACAGTTTCTAAGGACAACTTTAGGCGCTAATTTACAACTTTTTTTGTAGTTCCTAGACTTTTCACTTCTATCACTATCAGATTGCAACGTATGCCTGCATTTGTGTTGAGAATTCACGTCATATGCAGTTTCCAAAGGAAATGCCTCCGCTTTATGTTTATGGCGTTATTTTTTTCCTGAATATTTTGGGCAGATTTGCAATATCTGCACGTCAACTTCGAAAGATACTTTTATCGCTTCGTTTGTTTTTATTGACTGCTTTCTTAAGGCATTTGCTCCACTTGACAGATTCCGTATTGACAAAATGAGCAGTCACGCTGAATATACTGATAACTGTTTTACTGAATCGGGCGAAGTCCCTTGTGTGTTGGGATACCTGTTATGCTATATATAGTTAAGGAGTATTTCGTGTTTTAATACTGAGGCACACCCCTAATGCCGACAACGCGCTTCCACACGTTTTCACTCATCCTGGAAATTGTTCCTTCGGGTAACTTATGCGTCGTGCAAGCGAGCAAATGGTTGTTCGTCATGTATCGTTCAATAAACTGAAGTTTTCGCGCTTAGGTCTTTTAAGTAATACCTGACGATGGAACACATTTCCTACGTTGTCACGCCGTACTTCAAAATCAGAGGATCATTTTGCAATACAGTAAGAAGTTTTCTTATGTGATAGATATAGTATTGTCCCAACGTCACAAACGTTCTTGTGCATGAAGAATATTATTTGCATATAACAATGGTCGCTTTGTGGCTTATCACCCACATTGCAATCAATTACTCCTGAAGACTACATTGAGTGCCACACGAATGCATAAAATCGCTTGGTAATTAAGTTCTCGCTCGTGATTCAAAAAATTACAATAAGTCAGCATTTCTCCCAAAAATTCAAAGACCATAGCAATTTCTCATTGAAACTCGGTGTTTTCGTATGCATTAAAGTATGTTCTTTCTTAATATTTCCAGTAAATCTACGACGAGTGTGCATGTGATCATGCCTTATTCTTATCGTTTGTTTTGCTGTATTCGAGTTCTTTCTTCTAGGTATTTGCTCCACTCATAGACTCCTAGTGGTAAGCAATAATACAGGAATGGATTCACAGTGATAGTGCACCGAAAAATTTAAGTATCTTGAGTTAGTGGATGCATCAAAGATCTGTTTAGAATACATGATAGATGTAGGGTATATGAATTTCTTCTTTTACTGAAAATGTAAGTATACTAGATTATGAATCAAGGAAATTTCACCGACCAGCAGTTCGTCGAAGGGAAAATTCACCTACTCTACAATTGATCGCCGATGGTTTATTTATTAAAAACAATAAAACGTCAAAAAAACAATTTGTTTCATGCCATAAACTTGTCAATATTTCTATAAAATTTAAATCTGCTGGATTTGAATTAATTTGCCTCAAAATGATAAAAATGTATGTACCTCTAAATTTCCAATAAAACAATTCATTGGAATAATTTCAGAAAAATGCTTCTGAAGTTATTTACATGCATTACCTAATTAATGATTTATTTTATGTGCGACTACCTCTCAAAAACTAAAACATTACTGCTGTACTAATTTGCACCTGCTCTTGAAGATCTGAGCAATCGCTCTTATTTCCTACGAGAAGGTCTACCTTCATGGCCAATCACATATTTTTCAATTTGCAATGTTCTGATGCTCTCCTCACGCTGAATCGTTTCAATAAACCTCCAGATATTAGGGTGTTGTGCAGATATTTGCATTTCGAATCCACGATGACATCCCTCAATTGCATTACTTGTCTTCGGAAGACGGTGTCTTTCTGCTTCGTGAGAGTTTCACATTTTTAGGGAGAAGCGGAGCATTCGGTGTCCCTTGCGTCGTTGAGAACGTCCTATCCAGCAGTCCTCAAAAAAATCAGTCACGCTTTGTGCTTCTTCTGGCATGTTATCACCGCTACCGCTAAGAACCTCAAATGCATCTGCCACATTTTCTGTTTGGAAAAGACCAACGCAGACAACGGTCGCATTCTCATAGCAAATTCGACGTCGGTTTCGAACTTTCTTTGAAGATTTTCTGCCTGAATCGTTGGAATATACACTGCAAGGAACGCAAGAAACATTCTCGATGTCTAGTCCTTGGAAATTCTTGACGAATAGTACTGACTGCGGCAGGTTCGAATTCGGCTACATCTGTTTCAAGGAAGGCATCAGGTTGAACCTGTTACTTGTTGCAGAAACCCCTACCCCCAGTCCCAATATGAGGATCAAGCATAGTAATTCTTGTGCTCATTAACTAATCTTTCAAATATGCCATTTCTAAATAAATGCATTAGATAAAATTTATTTTTCTGTGAGTAGGTAATATTATGGTAAGTAATCTGCTCATTTTTCAACATAATCTTTCAAATATGTTATTTCTAAATATTACTGTATGATCATCATAGACAAATTATGGGCGATCGATTGTAAAATCAGCTAATTTTCCAGTCGGAAAATTTTTGTCAATGAACTTCCCCTCTGTGAATTGCAATCGGTGAACTTTCTGGATACCGTAAATTATTAAATATTCAGTTTTGGAATCAAATGCAAGAAAGTGATGTCTATTACAGCAGATGCACAAACAAACTGATCTCATCGCGAAAAATGTTCCGTAATAGAATCGCAATTTTTGTCCATAGACAATATGAATCTGATGTCACGAATTTTCAAGCACAAAGAATAATACTTTCGGATAAATAGCGGTCGTAAAGCTTCTTGCTTATAATGCAGTACAAGTTCGATAGGGATTCAATTTATCGTTTGAATGTTCACTTGTGAATTGTAATTTCCGTCGAAACCACACAGTCGAATAATCTCTGCTAGCGCATTTGTACTGTACTTCAACTGCCGACGATCATTTGCTAAGAAGTGTAGTGTGATTTATTTCTGGGTATGGTAAATGCGGTAGAGTTACGCTCTTGCAAACTCTCACTAAAAAGCATAATATTTTTTGTACATAACTATTGCTTAGGAAAGTTTCTCACTTGAAATGCAGCGGTTGGTTTGCTGAAGGAGATATCGGTAGGCAGGAAACGCATGTCTCTATGAAATAGAGTTTTCATTCCTGTATTTAATGATTTGTAGGATACGTAGTGTCGCAGGTTTTGAAAGACTTCTAAGATCGTGAACTTAAGCCCGTTATTGAATTGCGAAGTGAATTGCTTCGGAGTACTCGTCGTTCTGCAAACGACGCGGTGAAACAACATTTAACTGTGAAGTTCACATCAGTTGCATTTGAACTTGAAACCCACGCAAAAATTTCGGAATTCTACAGCATGTTCATTGGGAATGCACGCTCTTTATTTTCCGATTTTTTCTTCCATTTCGAACAGCCTTAGCGTCATGCCGTTAACCTATTACCTTAAGCAGATTTTTCATTTTCATTTTGCAGTTTACGCTTGACGATCCAACAATCTTAAAAATACAAACGGCCCTAAAACCATTGAAAGTTTACTTAGAAAGCAACATAACTGATTCTTCCAACTGTACACGATAATTAGCTTCAAATGATGGAACATTTGACAAACTGCTGAACTGAAGATGAAAGGGAAACTATTCTATGAACAAATCCCTACGCTTAGAAATAAATCAGCTATATGCAAAACAGGTGCATCTCAAACGATATTGGCAAGGAGTGTTAGGGTAAATTATACTAATTTTTGAAGTCCACAAACGAGTGTTCAAGTGACATAGATCCTTCTCTGTTGATGGCGAATGAAAGGAATCTCTAAATATATACTGCCGTCTTGTTTATTTCATATATAAAAAACTTTCACAAAAGTTTTATAAATAGTTACAATGTATTTCAATCCATCATTAAAAGAAACGGATTGTAGCAACATGATGATGTAGTTCGGGCTGATACTCGCACTCACTGTGTGCGCTCCTACACCTGCACAGAAGAAAAATGAAAGTGGTTGTGAAAGGAAAGCCGTAAATGTGATTTCTTTTCTCAAAGGATATGAAAAGTATTTCGTCTCGAAAAAAATAACATCGTCATTTCAAAACAAATTTTTCCGTGTTTCGTCATGCCAGTCATAGAATTAAAGCCTGTTAATTACAGTTTAAACCTCAAACTTATCGCTAAGAAAGGCCAGGATGGCAGAACATAAGTAGATTTTCTGCAAGAGTCTTTATATCAAATCGCCGAACTGTTGTTACAAGGCAAAATCAGTTGTAAGAAACGATTTAAACAGAAACTGCATAACGACTCTATGCAGGCTTATGGACAACTAAATAGCTTAAATGCAAATGGTATGCTCATCTGATATGCATTACGTCCTTTCCTACATCCATCGGATAGCGGTAAGTTTTCAAAGGGTGCATGATGTAGACATTTTAGATACAACTTTTAGGTTATTGCGAGTAACGCGGTTAGAACGCGTAAGCACATGTAGGCAGAACTGTGAAAAAGTTTTCCAATGAAAGAAATATGAATCGTCCTCTACTAAAGAACAGACACTGGAACTAGTAAGCATCCTTGGTATCTAGGATGAATTCATGTACACGGTTTAGAATAATAAATATACTTACATTCATCAGTACGTTCCGAACTCAGGCCACTGGATTAAGGAAAGAAGCTCCGCGAAAAAGAGGACTGATACAAAAATTTTCGAAAGAAAGTTCCGTTCAGCATTAGGTTATCAGATACAACCGAGATAACCCAAAGCCTTCTATTTGCAGATATTTTAACTGCTTAAATACTTTGAGCGTATTCTTGAATGCCGTTGGCATCGAATCACATTCAAGCCTAAAATAATTGCCAATATGTTCGTTTGCACACTTCACTTTTAACAAACGCCTCATTATGACAAAAGCGA